CTCCTCAGAGTTAATATTATTTTTACGATCTTATCAACTTTCCATTATTAAACATCAATTCTGCAAGTCGAGCACGTCAAGTAAGTAAATTGACAAAGTTCCAGTTTTACTTTGATACACGTAAACCAAGCCAAGTTTTCTTTCAGTCAGTTCAGTCATACATCAGTCAGTTCAGATCAGTGGAGAGGGAATTTGATTAGCAGAGTTGAAAGGAGAAAAAAGATGAACCCTTTTCCTTCCTTGGGGTCCATTTTCTTGGGAAGTTGGGGAAAGTGGGGTATGTAATGTATGTATGTACATCAGACCGTGTCCACATTAAGGAGTTGCTCCAAGTAGGAGATAAGTCTAGGGATGTATTTACATGTAGTTCTTATGTACACACTGCTGCGGGTGGTGGAGGGAGAAAACATCAAAAGGTTCCATCTCATTCTAATTAAAGATTTACAACTCCATTCCCTTCCTTTTTTGCACATTGCTACACAATGTTGGAATGAGAGATACTGTGCACAACGAAGCCTGCATTCCTGTCTGGACGAGAGAGAGAGAGAGATTGGATTTCAACTTCAAACTCTGTGCAGTACATTCAGCTCGTGTCCCCCTTTGCAAAAATTTGAATCCAGAGATTTAATTTGATAAAATCAGACGGAGAGAGAGAGACGAAATATGAGACTTGCTAAAAAATAATTTTTCGTCCTCCATGTTCTCAATCCCTCCCCTGCTAAAAGTTAATGCGACGATGTTTAAGTAATGTCACAATTTGACACGATTGTCTTACTTTTTAGCCAGCATGCATCCGGTGGGATGAGCGAGAGAAAAAAATGCAAATGTGAAATTAATTCGGCAGCCTTTTATTAACAGATTCCAGTCAAATCCAGTCAAGTCCATGGAGGAAGGAAGAACAGTGTGACGAATGGAATGGAATGAAATAATGAATGACCAGAGAAATTAGAAAGCTGTAGCGAAACATGCAAAATATTGGCCTTCACTACCAAACCAACTACTGGAGCCAGACAGGCAGCAGTTAATGGAAATGAGGATTCACTCACTCACGCCACGGGGCAGAAAACAAAGTCTGCAATTTTCGCAAAAACCGGAAAGCAAAATAATCAAACAATTAAATTAATGGGTGACTAACTAACTAACTGACTCGAACGTTCAAAGGGTTTGGTTTAGTGTCTCTTGTGTGTGACCCGTGATAACGGAAGAGCAGTTGTTTCTTCTTGCACATCTCACAAATAATCTGTGAGAACTTTGAAGTCATGTAATAACCACTTTGTTTATGGACTGACGTCGCGGTGGTGGTGGTGAGAAACTTATGTAATTGATGCCTCTATCCCATGTAACATCAACTTGCTGGATTTGATTGCAAATTTGCAATGGATAATTACTACATGGAGTGACATCACGAGATGTGGGGGAAGATAAGACGAGTATAAATCAAGATGAGAGACGACGTTACCATATTTATTTAGCTCGACTTGAACCTGAACAAAGCCTAATTTCCGGTCGTCTCTCTCTAGTAATGAGTAATTTTTCAATTAGTGCACTTCATTTTATGAGATGATCATAGCGGAAAAGTGCAGTATATTTACGTCCATCCATCACAATTAATATGCTACATAATCCCTACAATTTAACCCTTTTGTTTCTCTGTAACTTCCCAATGACCACTTTGTTCTCGGGAAAGGAAATATGCTCACCACTATTTTTATTACCGTCACTTTTACTGTATTTTATTATTATATTGTTATTATTACTGCATTGTGCACAATAATATTTCATGCTGAGTGGTGGTGCATTAATTTGCCGGGATGACAGAAGAGGTGCACAATTACAGAGTCCAGTTTCCTCTCTTTTGTTTCATAATCCGTAAAGTGCAACTCACTCGCTCGGGTCGTGAAACTGAAACATCTTCCCACGAAGAAGAAGAAGTAAATAAATAAGTAAATAAGCCTAACCTCTCGACTAACCATGAAAAGTTAAATACGCGAGAGAGATAATAAAATGTGACCGACGACGATTTTCCCAGGGGCACAAAAGTCGCCTTCATTCGTTCCTCGGCGGTGACAGCGAACGGAGGAAATCTCTCGTCTTAAGGTGAAGACGTGAGCAAATATTGCGTCCGTAATGAAATGGAAATGTCGGCTTAGCCAAAACCAAATTGGATGAATATTATTATTACGCTTATGCCTACGAGTAAGGAACGAGTGAGACTATTAATTGCTTTTTGATCGTCTTTGCCAACCAAACTTTACAGAGCCGCTATTACATCAAAGATCAAACTAACCACCACCACAGACAGTTTACAAGAGTGACAAAAAGTTAATTATTCACATTACACATATATCCACTTGTTCAGGCAAAAACCTTGCAGTAATAAGTAAACGACTTGTTATATACCGCGACTTGGACTTCAAGGTTAGGAGACGTCATCGTCCATCAGCAAACAATGTAGCCAACAAGAAGGTAAAAGTCGTGTGTATAATGCGCATCTGTCAAACGCAAGCTGGCAAACTATTCAGATATGATGATGATTCGGAGAATAATGAAATGTCCACGTAATTACCTTAGTTAGAGGTGCACGCTTCTTCAAGTTATGCAAGCAAGTATGTGCGCCTCCAGAGAAGATGCTGCCAAACTAAAGTAATTTCTGAGCTAAAGTTTGAGATTAGTTTAATATGTATATCCACGTCGCGTTTTGTATCGCATTTCACGTAATCAATTCACATTTACCCAAAATAAATGTTTATCTAATTTATTATTGAGCGAGAAGAAGACTCAATTGTTTAAAGCTCTCACTATTTATTTATCCATCGCATCCTCCTCTCTCTCTCTCTCTCTTGTAACACCTTTGTTATACAATTTGATTGTGTTGCGCAACTAAACTTTACTTGTCCCATTGCCACCGCGGCGACAAACAGAGATTAATTAGCACCCAAACATAAAGTAGTAGAAACTCGAGGTTCGTTCCTTGGTGTGGATTGGATTATTTATTATTCTTTAATTAGGAGGAAATCGAAACTTATTTTGACTCGTGTAAATAAATAAATACAGAAAGGCTAGAAAGACACAACCTCAAAGGACACACATTGATTCCGGCTGAATAGAGGGGATGCTAATAGTAAGATGAAGATGAAAGTATTATATACTTTGAAAATAAGTAATTCGAGCCTGCTCGCCAAACGGAGATCCATTATTATTATTACGAGGAGGAAATTAAACTTCGTAGTAAAAATAAGATGCCTTTTTTTAGCAGAAATTAGATTAGGTACTGTCTTTTTAAAATCTATTTAGAATCGTTTGATCTTATGAATATTGTAAAAATCCACAAATATCTAATTTAATTTGCAATGTTAAATAAGCAGGCTGAATTACAAGGCAGGAAATATGTCATAACGCAAAAGTATGTAGGTACAACTCTGCCGAAAGAATGTCTCAAATTCCCAGAGAGGAATGAATCTGGTCAGGATGCGTCGAGTTACTACACAACTTTTTTTCTCTTTTTTAGCAAATGTGTGCATGTATTCGAACGTGCGAACTGCCAAGAAAGAAGAACTGCTGGAACAAACTTTTATGCCAGGACTTCAAATAAATCTGCAAGAATTTGTATCCTCACCCACCTCACCTCCCATCATGACATGACTTATCGGTAATAATTTCCACGAAATGAGTCACGTCAGTCAAACAAAAGTTATAGAGTTAAATTCCATTTGAGAGAAATCTGTCGAAATTCGGCCCCAATTTGTGCAGCGATTCAACCAAACCAAACCACATCATAGAAAAATTCTGCTTCCCTTTTCTCAATACTAATCCAAACGCAATAATAGATAATATTCGTTTCGTTTCGTTGCAATGAGTGATTGCACAATGGGAATGGATCATTTTTATAAAAGTTAAATGTTCAAATTGTTTCTGAATTTTGAAATGGGTCAGCCAACTGACTGCACGTTACTTTATATAGTTACGCTAACCAATCTAAGCCAAACCACACAAAGCAACGAGGCATGTATTATATTTATGTATATTATCGTATTGTTTTGTTATTGCGTGGATGCATGGTTAGAGTGTGAGTGAGCCAAGGGCTGTATTACTTGATCACTCTCAGTTTCGTGACTTTTTAGTTGGATTGACAATTGATTTAGAGACGGGTCACGTCACCCGAGAACGTAGAAGAACGTGGTGACTAAATAACTTACAAGGATGAGATGATTGAGCACTTATTGGCTTCTCGAATTACGCAACGACGGCAATCCACTAAACTGAACTGAACTTGGTTGTACAAATTGTCTCAACTTTGAAACCTGAGGAAAAGGAGGATGAGACTTTGACATTAAATCCTGACACACACGGATAATCTTTACGATAGACACGAAAAATCGGTCCACTTTACTGCGAAAGTAATATAAACGGCAAACTAACTATATACACATCACTCGCCCTTTCGATCCAAATTCAATCCCCAATTAAATTAGTGGAGCGGATTGTTGTGCCGCCACGAAACCTTCATTCAATTCAGATGAAGAAGAGATGAGGTGGATTATTATTAGTTTACTTTTAGTTTACTTTAGGTAACGTTGTGGTCATCGTTTCGTCACATGCTTCGCTGGTTTAAATCCTCATCATGATCATGTTCATCTCATCTGGTGTAAAAGGCCTACTAAATAATTGCACTCCTTCTTCTCAAAAATAGTTGAGACGAAGAAGAAAACTTAATCATAGCCCCAAATCGAGGCAAAAAGTCAAACTTGGTTACTATACTAAAAGGAGAAGAAGAAAGACTCAAACTTTTTTCTTCCTTAATACTCGCCTTATCTCCCTTAATTACCGACTAGCTACACAGCAATTACGAAACTGGGTAAAATTAGGCCATAAAAAGTTCAGGTCACTTATCAAACCTCATAATGTGAGAACTAAGAAATCGGGGGGAATACTTGTCCTCGCAATTCCTCAAGTCTAATTTCAGATAAAGTAAGAATACTTGATATTATTGGTTTCCTTACCTCATGCGGTTTCGGGTATGCGTGGTTACACTGATGATGATCGTGGTGATGATGAGCCACACCACCCCCACTCGACGAGCACTGCACCACCCCCACAAAGAGGCAAGGAACTAATAGCAGTATTAATAGTGTTAAACCGAGGTCACAACCAAGGACTGGGTCAAGTTTGTGGTGACGACTAGTCCTAAACTTGTGGGGTGGCCGCCGGGTCGTCGTCGTCGTCGTCGTTGACAAGCTCATGGTGTAAGAAGGAGGAGGAGAAAGTGGCGATGACGGCGACGGTGGGGTCGAAAAAAATGGTCACATCGCTTTCTTGGTGAAGTCACTGCCTGGTTATCCACTGCTCGTCGTGGGGCTAATCGAGGAGAGAGAGATGCAGCCTCCTTCGTCCACTCGGCGAGACTGCGGCCAAGAGCGAAGAACATCTTCCTCCACTTCTACGACTACACGGACGTTCGTTGGGTGACCACCTGCTTCTCTCACTACTCGCCTCTGCCTCTACATCCCCTCAACAACGCACAGTTTTCTGCCAAATGCATGTATATGTACGATATATATATGTATGTGTACGAGATTGAGCACTGTTTCCGTTTTTGAGCAGTAATCCACGAGAAACACCCGGTCCTCCCTCCACATTGGCGACAGGGGGGATTTTCGATAAACCAAAACAATGGGTGGACAGAGAAATAAAGAAGAAGTTAAATAAGAACGGGAAAACGATGTTTGTTGTGAGGAGCGATACGTGAATCCTGGAGAGTAAACTTTCCCTCTCGACGACCACAATGCTTCCACCGCTTGCACGATAAAGGATGGTGTCGACATGACGCAACAAAATACACAAGTCGGCAGTGTGTATGTGTATGATTGTGGGATTTGCATAGGATAACGAACAAGGAAGGCTCATTTTCCTCGGGATTTTACACTAAAATTGCATAGCTAAAGTCATGGTGGATACAATTATGAAAAGGTGATGATTGTTAATATATTTATTTATATTTATTTACGGCGTAGTTTTACTTCATAAATTCTTCTGTTACATATTCCCCAAGAAGGCTAATATCGAATTTTGTGTGTTGCTTGTTGTTTGTCTCCGTGTAAAAAGTAGCGTTTTGTTCTGTATCGCCCGGTACGATGTCAACAAAGGTTAAGGAAATATTGGTACGTCAGCATCAAGGGTCGAGCGAAAGTGATGCATCCATTAGGTGAGCTATTCTGCATTCAATAGTAAATAAGTAGGCATGCTATATTTAAGCTTCCATATTTGCTTCGAACTCTTCCAATTTGCTATTAGACCACGAATGAGAATGATGATCCCCCTATTTCAACGACTGTGTCCACTCCCAACCCAATTCTTCCGCCCGAACAAACCGAAAGAATTTGTTCTAACAATCAAGAAATTTTGGCTGCGTTGTTCTTAAAGGAAAATAAATCACCAAAGCTTCCTGATGCTTAACTTATTTCATTTCATACTGTCCCCTGCTTTAATATTGTAAATATGGTAAATGATTTGTATTTTATTCCACAGATTCGGAAAATTCTATTAAGTCTCTTTTGTTCAAAATCAAAAAGTTTTCCATTAGAGAAACCAAAAATAAACTTACTGCGGATATGCATTATAAGCGTGCAGAAATTCTTTCATCTTCATCTCAGGATACAGGAGGACAAACTACATATTTCAATTAAGAGATTTATTTAAGATTTAAGAGATTTAACACATAATTTACCACGATTTCCATATGTACTAGAACACGACAGTAAACAAGCTAGTAATTTCAGAAAATACTTGATAAACAATATTTGTACTTATGAGGATGAGACGTACACAAGTGTTATGCAAAAAGTCTCATTTTGATTCACGCGAAAGAATCGTGTCAATTTGCCCATGGTGGAAAAATGACGTTGCGCTCTGCAAACAGTCGTGTCAGCAGCAGCAGCAGAAGTAAATAGCAACCAATGTGACCAATTTTTAGCTGCTGGATCGTCTCGTCCCCTGCACCCTGAAAAAATGGCGAAAACGGACCGTAAAACGGGTGTGGAGAAGACTCTGTGTGAACAGTATCTTTACATTGCATTCGTAGTGGCGTGTTACTGGTGAGGCGTTTAATTAATTTATTATTATTATCTATCAAAATATTTTATTGATTGATTGATTTTTTTCTTTTGAACAGGGTCGTATCGATCGCAATCGTCTTTGTGAACAAATCCCTGCTAAGTGCCCGACAGGACTTTGACGCCCCCATGTTTGTAACATGGTTTCAGTGTGTGTTCACTTATTGTGTGTGCCTATTCTTCCGCCGGTTTAGAGGCATCTTTACCTGGTTTCCGGACATTCAGTTTAGCTATGCTACTATGAAGAAGGTGGGTATTATGTAAAACAATGTGGGTATTCACGTAACTCGATAACGTCACCTTCGAAACTTTGCAATGATTGATGTGGCGACGAGTTTGCGAAAAATAGTTTTCGACTTAAATATACGCACTTTTGCTTCGCATATTTCGTTAAAAAGATAGGAATCTGAGTAGTTTTCAAATCGCAAACATCAAAGAGTTGCCAAGATATGCTGCGAAGCGACGTTTACGAAGTTGGCGTGAACACCCACAATGAATTGTGAGGACGTTTATATGAAAAATTAACAAGATTTAATTATTACTAGACCCTCCCGCTCTCCATCGTGTTTGTTGCAATGGTCACATTTAATAATTTGTGTTTGAAATATGTCGGGGTTGCCTTCTACTATTTGGCTCGCTCCCTCACCACCGTTACTAATGTGGCATTCACGTTTGCAATTTTGAGTGAGTTGGAGTTGCAACAATAGTTTCAACTTTTTTTAAAGTTTTATTTAAGTAAGTTTTATTTGACGATTGTAGGAAAATCCGTGTCCGGTGGTGCTATTACGTGCTGTCTTGTCATAACGATCGGATATTTCGCAGGAATTGATCAGGAAGGTCTTTCAGGTTGGTGGATAATAATATACATAAAACAATTGTGTACATTTTGTGCAAACTTGAAATTGTGGGTTTGTACGCCAGGCGGGATCACAATAAAAGGGATAATTTTTGGAGTTTTATCCTCCTGCTGCGTCTCTCTGAATTCAATCTACACCAAAAAAGTCTTACCCGCCGTCGACGACTCGGTGTGGACTTTAAATTACTACAACAATTTAAATGCTAGTCTCCTATTTATCCCGTTAATGTTCATTTTTGGCGAACTCCCACACACCGTATTTGTCACGCAAATGACAGAGTTGGACTTTTGGCTGTTGATGAGTCTCGGCGGTGTGATGGGGGTCCTTATCGGATTTGTGACAGGATTGCAGATCAAGGTACGTCATTGTATATATGGAAGCATTAGTTACTTACAATTTTAATTTTTTTTACTTGCAGGCTACGTCTCCACTCACTCACAACATTTCCGGTACTGCGAAAGCATGCGTCCAAACTGTGATCGCTGTCTGGGCTTATCACGACATAAAGTCCTGGGCTTGGTGGGCATCCAACTGGATCGTTTTGTTTGGCAGTGCAGCCTACACAAAAGTGCAGCAGATGGATATGGAGAAAGAATTCAAGAATAAAACTATTTTGCCGTCGTAAGTTATCTCTTAAACACGATTTGAATTTTAAGCTAATATATTTAAGTTATGCAGTAAAAATCTGTTTTCATTGCAGCCACGAGAAGAGTCCAAAATCAAAGGATGGAGCTACCGAAAAACTTTTAGATTCTGACAGTTCATAGAAAACGAACGGTTCTCTTTTTATAAGTCATCGCGTCTTCCTAAATCTGTTTACGATCTATGTAATATCACATTACAAATTGCAAGTATTATCTGAACAACATGAAAATAATGAATAATTTCTTTCCGCAATAATTTTTTAATTATATTATTTATTCAAGTTATTTATTATTATTATTATCCGTACGTTTTACACAATATAAATAACGTTTCGACATTTTAGTCAAGCAAAGAATGTAGACATTTCTTGATAAAAGGAGAATTTAATGTGATGATGATTTTTAACTAATAAAGTCAGGACCAAAAATTAAAGAATTCCGAGCTGTCAAAAAATTTACACTCATCATGATAATCATCTTTGTTTGCCGAGGGCGATATAGAAAAGTATGGAACGAAAATGGTAAAAGGTAAGTAATTGGTTCGAGAACAATTATAATTCTGTGTGGGTAAACTTATTAGTTGATGGAAATATTTGGATATGCAAGATTAGCTCCATGCATCTTCTGAAGGAGGAAATAATACTGAAAAAATAGAATCAGTTGCGCCCAAGATTGATAAAATAATTTTTAGGTAACGTCACAAGTGAGGGGACAGGAAGGGTCTGGAGTGAAGGGAAGTAGGTAAGTGGTCCAATCATATTTATCATTTCGTGTTGATAAGGTGTGGAGATATCAAGTGAGTAGTAAGACAATTAAGAAATTGGGGCGCAAAGTAGAATTCTTTCTATTTTTTGAAATACTTAAAAGAGATGAAGTTGTCTCAAGTCAAGAATTATTCTGCGAGAATATTGTTTGTTTGTTGCTGTGTGTTTTAAATCTGAGCGAGGATCAATCTAACATTTTTCGGAACATTAAAAGTTTTTTTCTCCGTTTCTTAAAAACTCTCACATTCTAAATTACTAAGTACTTTATATTTAATTAAATTGTGTGTTTTTTTGGTACGTACGTATTATTATCCAATCCATTCAGATTTACTTGATTAAAATTGCTTCCCATTCACTGTTTCATTTTAAAATTCTTTCTTGGTATATCGTCATTATCTCGCTATTCTCAATCTCAATCGCATTTCGCATACCATAAATACTTTCACTTCGTGCTTTCTTTACTCCATTTTTACAAATTGTATAATATATTAAATAGTTTAGTTTTGTAATTATTCCTATCCGTCAACTCATTAAATAATTAACTAACTAGTTAACTAGGAATGTTCCGTATCATCTGTTGTCTCATCATATCATCATCTGCAAAATCGTTTTTATTTAATATCTGTTTTAAATCCGGGATTTAATTTTTAACTGATTCTTTTCATCTTAATAATCAATCAGTATTTAACTCTAAATTATTTCACCGTTTAACGCAACTGGCTGGCTATGATAGTCGTGGTTGTTTTTCTTATTCGAATGGTGGTACATACTTATTAATTATAAGTTATTATGCAAAAAATACTTTTTTTGGTGGTTTGCTTACTTATTTCGGATGTTCATGTCGACAAGCATTCATTTCATTTTCCTGATTGATTGATTAAATCAATTTGATTTGATGAAAAACATAATTTCTACATGAAAAAAAATCCACAAAAACCACCAAGCAATGAAATCAAAGGTACTCATGACTCAGCGCAGTAGCTAAATAATTGTAAAATTATTATAACTAACTAAAATAAATATTTATAAAAAAACAATAAATATTTCAAAATTACGAGACTATACAAACGAAACGACGACTTATCACGCGATAAGAAGATCCATCACCGGGAGAGATATAAATATCTATTAACTAAAGCTTATCGAAATGATTCGTTGTTATCGTATATAACTTACAAAAATAATCCCATCTCATCAACCATGGGCAAAAAATAGTTAGAAAAATTAGAAAATATTTCCGAGCGCTGCTACGTAAATCAAATTGCATTCATCTTCAACTTTCAATTGCGTCGTGGTGAGTGAGAGGGGGAACAATAAAGGTAATGATAATCATGGGGAGAAGAAGAGACTTCTTGAAATTAGTATTAAATTATCGTGAGCTGTAACTATTAATAATAACAATAACAATTAACATTTCTATAAAAACATGGAGCACCAAATGCATCATTTTTACTTGTCCGGAACTGTGGGGTTTGCGGAACAGAGGTCCTACCTAAATTGTACACCTAACTAAAATTATTTCGATTAATTGCTGTATATTATGCCATCACCGACCTTATCTTATTAATCAAATATAGACAAGTACCCACCCCACCTAATTAATTACTCATTTCATAACCTACTTATTAATCGAGTTTTTATGTATTTAGATTCAATTCGAGTGATTGCTGTAATTTTTTATTGTAATATTTGGTTCGATTTATGTATATTATTTCGACTCTTGAAATACCAATCGTTTTCTTGTCCTGGCTGCGACGAAACAAATGCGTTTTAAAGTTTCAAAGATGGAAAATTAAGGATCACAGCTTTCTTTTCTCTTTCCAACCAAGCAAGAGCAAGACCTTTAAGAATTATTAATCAAGTAATTACACGCTATCAAGAAGTTTTACAATAATAATTAAAATCTAATAGAGGGACAAGTAAATACGTACGTACGTACAGACGTAATCTCTGTGCTGCTGTCTTTCTTAATAAGGTCGAAAAAATCGGTAAGTTTCATTTTTCATCTGTACATGTTAAAAGTTACTAATAATAAGTTATTAAATAAATGGAAAGCCAATTAAGGATTTACAAGAGCTTTTGGTAAGAGAGGAAAATTTTTGGTTGGTTGGTGTATTTATGTGGCAGTTTTTTTTTAACTTATTTACTAATTAATTAATTATTATTATGCAGCGTCCTGTCCACATTATTTTATTACCATAGTTAGTTATGTAACAAGGAGGAGGAGGATGATTGATTGATGACTCGATCGACTCATTCCACTTTCTACTCACGCGATTAATAATTTTTTAAACGCTTTTCCTACTACTTCATTTACCGTATATTTATATGCACCCACATGGATTAGAATTGGTTTCCAGAATTTCTCCGTGTGCTAGAATCCATCCATCAAAAACTAGCTTTATCTTTCCAAAAAACAGAGACTATATAAGAGCGCATAGATTAGATTAGGTATTTTTTAGACCTGTACAGCAACGACCTTGTTTTTCCGACTAAGATTTCAACCTCGGGTCTCGTCATTTTTTTTACGGATAATAATAATTTGAAGACTATGCTTTAATACAATCCTATACTTAAAATGAAATGGTTTCGAGTGATTGTTTCCGAATTTTTGTGGGGTGTGGTATTAAGTGTGCACGTGTCCGGTGTATGATGATTGGTCCGTTCGGTTTGGTAAATGGTGCGTCTACATAATTTTGAGGTATTTATGGTTGTCCAATAAGGGGAAGGGGGGAATTATTGAGGAATTAAACTGCGGATTAATTTTTCTTCTTCTTTTTGAAGTACGAGTCTGCATAGTGGGAAGGGAGTGGTTCATGGGGGTGGTTGAGGTGGGCGTTGTGCAGCTGCTGGTTGATTCCTCCCAGGGTGGACGTAGACGACGAAGAATTCCCCCCACAGCCAAGAAAGCCGTCAATTTCCAACCCCCCTGCACCAACCCCTCCGTCGTGATGGACCTGCTTCCGCTTGATGCCGAGGGGGTTGAGGAGAAGTGAGTTGTTGTTGTTACTATTCAGCGAGGTGGCTCCAGGGCTGACTGAAGGGGCCGCCCAAATGTTCCGACTCTGAGAAGTGAAACTGCTCTGCTGCTGGTGGTGCTGGTGGTGCGCCGCCCCAATATAACCCCCCGCATTCCATGTCGACGATGGGGGCGGTATTGGGGAATTGAGGCTCGAACTGGAAAATAAGACATACTTGTTAAGAGAGGTAGCCCCAGGGTTTACTTACAGGTCAGAGTTCAAGTGGAAGAAGTAAGAGAGATGATAGAACACACGGAAGAATTCTTATCCAGGAATCACAAGTGGCAGCAAATTTTTATTGAAATTCCACGTATTAAAAACATGGCAAAAAACTTCAAAAAAGACGACGAATATCTATGTAGCCGCAACTCGTCTTTAATTCAAAGTGATCTCTTTAAGGACAAAACTTTAATCGAGATTCAAACTTTCCCCCATTTAAACCTTAATAAAATAGGAAAATAAAGTGTAAAATTGATTTACTGTACTGTGGCATCATGTTGTAGGTTCCCGTTTCCCGATTCCAACAGCCCCTTGGAGGAGTTGCGTGAAAATGGCGAGTACGAACTTGGCGACCGTGGCGAGCTCATTTCACTCGACCCGTTCGACCCGCTCCGTTGCGGTTGTCCACCTCCCAACCCGCCAAACGGTCCGCCACGATGGTTACTCCCGATGGGCGAAGGCGGGTTGCTGTTGCTCGAAGACCACGAGTTGTTGTGCTTCATCCCCCCGTTGAAAGCGTCCCCTCCGTGATGTTGTTGCTGCATGTGCTGCATTTGCTGTTGTTGGTCACCCTTCATGGACTGCATGAGGAGGTCGAGCAGGGCGTTGGGCATGCCTCCGCCGACCTGTTGTTCCAGCCCACTCGGGTAAGACTGCTGTTGGCGTTGGTGCGGATTGTTGTGGTATTGATGGTGGGGGTGTTGCTGTTGTTGGTGGTGTTGGTGGTGGTGCGGAGGGAGACGACCCCCTTGTTGCGAGAAGGAAGAGTCGAGTCCTTGCTGCTGCTGGTGATGATTACCGCCGCCGCCGCCGAAGATTTGGTTGAAACTTTGCGGATTGTTGAGAAGTGAGCTGAGCGCTTCTTGGAGGTCACCGTTAACTCCGCGGTGGTGGTTGAGGTGCATATTTCCAGCGGAGGAAGAAGAGTGACAGTTCGAGAAACCGGGTGGGGACGAGCCTTGTTTGTATTGGTGGTTCATTCCGCCAAAAAGGGCGTCGGCAGAGCGACCAATAGGCGACCCGTTGGATCCGCCGCCGGTCTTCATAAAGTGGGGGCTTGTGTTTCCCGGCGAGGTGGGTGTCGAGTCTGACGATGAGCCAGGATTTTGTCCAAATAATGAGTACCAGACGGCTTGTAGGTCACCGGGTGGGGTTTTTGGAGACGTCATGCCCGTGTCCATGGGCACGTCGACGAGAGAGGGCGACGGAGATGGAAGCAGTGGCGTCTAAAAAAAGGCAAAAGTATGTTAAACCGAGAGGTTCGTTAGTGAATCAAAGAGGAAAAGGCTAGTTGATCCTGGTCATCTAATCTCGACTCATTTGTCACGAATCAATCAACAACGGTACAGGAAACGTACACGCATTTTTTTGTGAGCTTTCAGTTTAAAAATTCGCAAAGGGAAACTTCAACTCGGCTCTTTTTTGCAATTAAGTCATTTACATGTCTTCGCTCATGTTCATGTTTCCCTGTGTAAGCTAATAAATCCTTGTTTTTGACTCTGTTCAACTCGAAATACATATTTCATTCAGCAAACTAGGAGCTGATTAAGTTACTAGCGTGTGGTATATTCAAATCATATAATTCTCAAAGTTTCTCGGATAATTGAAATACGTTGCGAAATTTTACTGCCAAGTTTGCAACTTTTGCAAGCGCTAGCTTAAACAAAAAGCAGATTTATTTATAAGTATGTACTTAAGTTAAATTCATTAATTTTCAGGGATGACCAAAATACAGTATTTTGATCTCCGTTCTTCACAGGGTTTAGATTTCCAGGGCTGTTACACCCACAAGAGGACGAAAATCTGCATCGGGATTCGGTAATACAGCAGTCATACGAAGATACGGGTTTTGTCAAGAAACTTAATTTTTATTCCTGTCAAAACACCTAATTTTTCGAAAATCATGAAAACAAAGTGTTTCGACACCGCTAAAATGACAATTTCTTCACAAAACCTGCATTTTCGTATGGCTGCTGTTAATACTGCCAACTTAATTTTCACCTTGTGCATCCCATTCGACCCAAAAACGGGTGTACTCCTGTTGGACTTGTACGGAGACGACCAGTGGTCATCCACCCCTCCTCCGCCACTCTGTCCCCCCGGCGAGAGTAAGCCCTGTGGTGGTGGGGGTGGGTAGAAATGGTGCGGAATGTTCGGATTCTGCTGATCCAAGTGCTGCTGCTGCTGCTGTCCTGGCGAAAGGAGGGAACCGTTGCCCCCTTGAGACTGGGCGAGGCTGAGCAGGTTGCTCAGATTCGGGGCATTGCCAGGAATCCCAAAATCCCCACCGCCCCCATTCCCCATGCCACCCCCACCTTTGCTCATCGCCTGGAGGGCCGCGAGCAGTTGTTGGTTCTGCAGGGACATGTTTGACCCGTTCGTGGGCGACATTTGTCCACTGCCACCGCCCATCCCGCCACCGTTATTCTGACCCATTTGTGACGCTAGGAGCAGCGTGAGCGCCGTGTGTTGCGCGTTCTTCATCAAATTGTGGTTGTGGTTCGGGGGTGAATTGTTGGAGGGGAATTGGGGCCCCTTGTTCTGCTGTTGGAAGGGTGTCTGCCTCTGTTTTCCGCTATCATTGCCTCCGCCCTTTCCCTTCTGCAAGTCCTGGATTTGCTGCATTATTATGGACTGCAAGTTCTGAGCAACTGTAAAAATAAGCGAGAGTAAGGATTTGTAAAATTCATAATTTTCTACGAGATTTTGGGAAAGTTTCCGAATTATGCAAGCTTTATGGCAGAAATCGTATCATTTTTCAGTCTAAATTTAGTGAAATTTCACAAATTAGAATAGCTCTTTTAGTATAAATACATGTTTAATCGGATCCCGTACAGTTTTACGTACGAGAAATCTAGGACTATTTTTAAGCCTAAATTTAGTCCGGATTTGCCCGATTTATACATAACGACACCAGCTTTCACCCTGTACAAGCCTAACCTGCCAAAAAAACGCAACCCACTTCCACGAAACAAACAAATCCATGATGGACAACCAAGTATAAATAAATCCTTCCCAATTTTGCACAGATTTGCAATAAACCACATCTCTCCCTACTTGCGTAACATGGGTCTGTCTACATGGATGCACGCCTGTAAAAAAAAATCCGTCCCTACCAAACCAACTCTTTCTCTCTCACTTCATTTCATTGCCAACTTTTAAAACTTTCCTCTTCTCGTGCGGAGAGGAAAATAATAATAAAATAGGGCGTAATTGAGTCGATGTTGATTTAATTTAGTGGCTTGTTCCGTGGTAAGTTTGAAAAGTTTGGTGTTCGGAAATATGGAATAAATAAGGGCAGGAGCAGGAGCAGAATTAATATGGAATGTTGTACTAGTTCAAGTACTGACAACCCCGTTCGTCCTCCTTTCAACGAGAGATCCACTTGAGAATTTGGTGAGCAGAGAGAGTTTGATTCTTCTTCACCCAACTTTCCATCCTTCAACTTTATTACTACGTGCTGTCCAACATTCGGGCAGGATCAGTAACAAATTTTGGGTGGAATCCCTCTCTCTCTCCCCACTTTCACTCTTTAAATAGGAGAGAGAAAGCAAGTCTGAATTTATATTTGCCCTTCATCGTTATTTGTGAATCTTCAAGTGGGGAAACAAATAAATGCCAAATATTGAGATTGAACGCGATCTATTTGCGAGAAGAATTGCCCTCTCGTGATTTTTCGGACGGAGAGATGCAAAACTAATGGTCAATTGGGACCCATTCCGCTCGTCTAATTAACGGCAAGAGGAGCAGACTTACACACGGGATTCTGCTTGGCTAAACTTTGCAGTTGCTGGAACACTGCGGGGGCAGGTGGGTCCGGCAGGAGGGCACTTTTCCCCTTGTTGGCTCCCTGAAATGTAAATCGTGCATATGTAAAGACGAGTCTTAAAATACGACCAAGTACTAATTTACCCCATCGTTGAGAAGTTTGAGGTACAAGTTGATCGCTCTGACGCCCGGGATGTAGTACGCGACACGGATTCGCGACCCGTGAAGGGAGTAGCCGTCCAAGTTTTGTTGTGTTTTTTCCGCGTCGTCCTCATTGATGAATTCGACAAGGCCCCAGTCTTGGGGGCAGCCGTTTTTGAGTGCGATCTAGGCAAGGAGTAAAATTTACTAGTTTCAAGTTACGTACTTTTTGGCGTAATGAAATTGCAAGTGGCACGAGTAAATTAGGTGAAACCTCAAAATGTTTTATGGGTTATGTATTGACTCACCTGGCAATAAGGTGGATTAACGATGGTACTGAAGACGCGGCGAAATTCGGCCATGTCGCGATAATTTGGGGGCAGCCTGTCGACATAAAGGCACTTGGAGTGGAGGGAGCGGACCGTGATGTGACTAGAGTCCAGCCAATCACAGACCGCTGTGCAGTCCAAGAGTCGCTTCCCGTCCAAGGCGTTCTTCGCTTGGAGGGCGGCTTCCTTGGTGACATACTCGACAAAGCCGTATCCCTTGTTGTCACCTGTGACACGGGAGAAGAAGAACAAGTCGTCAGAAAGTGAGTGGTGGTGGTGGGTGGATCACAACATTGCTTTGTTCACCACTTCCTCCTCTCCTCATTAATCTTCATTACGCCACACTTTACACTTTCTCTTCCTCCTCCGCAGAATATCCAAATCTCATATAAATACTTTACTTGGTCGTCATCATCATCATCATAATCATAATATAATAATGTCGTCACATCCCAAAAAGACCGAATTTTAATACGGAGCGCGAATAATGGGACGACTTTCACAAGTTGGTGCTGGATGGCAAACAAAGAGTGAACAAAAAGGGCTTTCCCTCAGCGGGAGGTTCACCGCCGTGGTGGTGCAGCTCACTCACTCAATATTCCGAGCCACATGTATGCATGTCCAGTTAGTTAGCGAACAACAACAACAATGGAATGTTTTTGCATGACTTGACTTTCACGACTACTCACCCGTCCTCTCGCTAATCATGACGAATGCGCGGCGGATCTCGCCATACGAGGAGACCAAGTTGTTGAACTGGGCTTCGGTGTAGGTGAGAGGGATTCGTCCCACGCACAGCAACATTTCCGACAACGACGGGACAATGGTGACGCGTTGACCTCGTACCGTGAACACCGCGTTGCGATCCCAGTCCTCCAACACCTGAGAAATATTGGCATCACATTTTTTATCTATGGGAACTTGACACATAAGAAGTGACGACGACCGACTCACCTCCGGCGAACACAGCGAGACACGGGCCGATCCCGATTGCACGGTCACACTTTGGACTTCCCATTCTGCCAGCAATTCCCGAATTTCCTGCAAGAAAGAAAGAGAAATGTCACATTTTGAAGGGAGTCAACAGGTTGATGAAAGTGTAGACTGGGGGACATTGGCTCGTGCATGTGCAGTTCAACTACCCGCATTACGATTGTCGTCATACGCCACATCTGGTGGTGCATAACGGCCCAGATATCACATCTACTCTCGCTCTCAAGTTGTGATTAATTTGAGGAAAAAAAAACCGGAGTAAAAATTGAGTCAGGACTTTTGCCGATTGCTTGCGACATAAATAGCGGCGAAATGGAGGAAAACGACGAAGCAGTCTGTTGTAAATCGGTCATAATTTGAGAGAAGCGTACACATTTCTCTGACATTTCTACATCGCGATCAGTTCCTATCACGTCAAAAAAAAGATCCACATCTCATCTTCCCCATTCACCCGAGGAGATCCTCCTCCTCCTCCCACCCAGAGCAACAGAGTTGACGCTGCTCATAATTCTCAACAACATTATCCCAACTAACGGAGAAAGAAATGTGTAAAAGCGTATTTAAAAAGGCAACCAAACTGGCGTAACATCAGCATTTTCTCAGCATTAAAGTGAGTGGATGGATTCTCGGCTGCACAACACATCCATTAAACGGACAAGTTGCACATGTGAGACTGTTTCATTTCGTCGTATGCCCCTCGTGCCACCGCAATAAAGGCGAAATGATGGGAGCAGTCACTTTTATTTTAAGCCTCTTTTCATGTCGTGTGGCGTGGCGTATGTATCGCGAGAGAGGCTGCTGTTGACCAAAATGTTGTCTAGATCCATATCATCGTCATCATCATCATCCTTGTCGCAGGGAAGATATCGCGAAAATATAGGCGAGTATGCCCAAGTATTTTAGTGGGATGAAAAGTCACCCGGATTCAGTCAGAGTGTATAAAAATATGGTGGTGGTGTTTTTTTTTGCGGTATCTAAAACCAACCAAGCGGAGTAGGAGATTCATTGCACCTTCACGCAACCAACTCTCCAGGGCTTCATTCTCCCCCGACTAAAAGGGCCCAAATGGAGGAGCTAATGCCTCCACATTTCTCCACAACCGACCCACACCACCACCGCCACCAGGAACGGGTCTTATTGAGAGAGAGAGAAACGTCATAATCCAACCCACATTACCCACAATCTATTAAAAAATAAACAACGTTAGTCCGACTGGAAGGAGGCAAGGAGAGATGAAGATCATGTCGAATTTCCCTTCCTGCTTGATTTATTCGTGACGTGTGCCAAGGAGCAAAATGTGTACTTTTCAGAGTCATCAGGAAGAAGGAAGTGCACTCTTTGTCGGATGGACCCGATGTTTTACTCGCCTCGGTAACAGGACACATTTGCTTACTTAACCACAAGCAAAAGTAATTCCTTCCGAATTTCTTCTCAGGAAGGACAAGTAAGTGTCTCATAACTGCAACTTCTAATCCTGCCAGGGACGACTTAGTATAAACCTGGCTCCAGAATATGCCCGTCGTATATCCAACCAACCCAGGTGGATGGAAATATCCTTTTCTCCCCTCCGTAGTAAGCTGGGCAATTATAAGAAACAAAGTGTGAGAACGAGACAGCAGCTTGGTGCATGTTGTTGTCAACCATAATCCGGTGTCATCAACATCAACCCTGGCGTGGTGGATGGCTATGGATCCATTAACTTGGACAGAGAGAGAGAGGGGAAGAAGAAATGCGAGTGAGTGACAAGTCGAGTCGTAAATTAAGAATCGATTCTCTCCTTTCACTTTAACTTATTATTTTATTTGTCGAGATTCAGACCGTTTTTTGTCCCAAAGTGAAAATAAAATAAAATAAAATTCATCCTCGAAATACTCTCATTTTATGCAGCGCAACATTTATTTATTTGCTTTGGTACATAGGTATTCCTCCAGGTGAAAGTAAGCAAGTCGCCCAATTTGCTGCTGGGTTTCATTTGTTGGCCCACTATTTTGGGTGACGGGGAGTGGAAGAGATTGACTCCGGCTCACGTCCCGCATAGCTCAAAGGATTAGCCGGCGACATCGAAAATAATATCGGCCGTCGTCGTTCTTGTCGTATTTCTCGACAAATTCTTCACTCTGCATGATGCCTCTGGTATACATGTATCGTCTCCTGTTTCGTCATTAAATGTCCACACATGCCACGCCACGCCACGCCATTCACACGCCGTACACGGCTCTTTCTCTCCCCAAATTGTTTTAAATTGGGGGAAAACTTTCACCATAAAATGAATCCGCGACTTGTAATTTGGTCACCGGCACCGCAACGACGTCGACGACGGACAGACAAATGGAGCAGGCACGATACATTTTTGTCTCCACCTCGGACTTACTTATTTGTTGTTTTGTTTGTTTCTTGCTCATGAATCGGGTAGGAGAGAAGGAGAAAGTCAAAGTGGTGACATTTCCATGCAGCTTTCACTCACTGGGTGAAAAAAGTCACCATATTTGTAACCACCACCACCCAATAAAGCCGTCTTCATAATGTATGAGAACACACGTGTGGTGGTGGTGGTGGGAAATCAGGTGGAAGGGAGGCGTGTGTCGTGAAATTGGCGTAAAAAGCAAAGTTTTTCGCGGAGAAAGGGTGGTTGGAGCAGGAGCAGCAAGTGGTGGACGTGGACGAGGAGGTGAGTAAGATTGAGAGTAAATCTCATAAAATATTCATGACGACGAGGATACAGCCGAATGAGGAGGAGAGTCATTCTCCCATTTGAATTCTTGTCATGTTGTGTCAGCCCATTTTGCCCTTCTCACTCCAACTTGTCAATGATTTCTCGTCAGAAAGAAGGAAGAAGAAGAAGAAGATTTCATGCTGCTGCCTACACCAAGATTATCACAACATTGGCCGTGATTATCGACCCTCTCGTGACTCCTTCCCCCTCCCTCCTCGAAGAACGACACGAATTCTGTAGGACGTACGTACCTACATTCTACATAAATTTATACCCATGAATACCTAACGTCCGTCCGTACGTACCCACGAACAGGCCGGAATCGTAAGGAAGAAGAAGAAGAAGGAAAAGGAAATAAAATCCTGAAATGACGAGGATGACTTTGACTGGCCAGTAAAAGCTGAATTGACGACGATCATCATCTCCGTCATGATTCCGAACATGAAAGGATTACACTCAATTAGACTCGCTAACATTGCTGGGCGGCATTTACCCCTGCTTTCTTCGAATGGGGACGACATGCATACCTGCAGTTTTAATGAGCAGTAAACTTTCTCCCCTCTCCCATCCACCCACCCATTATTATTACTTTCTCCGAATAATGTCCAACTTTTAACAATTTGGAGAGACGGAAATCCTCCATATGTTGTGGATTTATAGGCATTAGCAGAGAGAGTAATAAACCGTCGGAACTAACATAAAAAAGTGGCGGATATAGTAAAATGACATCACGTGAAAAGTATGTGATTTATGACCTTTGACCTCGTCCTTAAGACCATGGGTTGTTCGGAGGTCAAAAATATTGACGGAGTTGATTTCGTGGTGAAATTTTCTTTAAAATGACACCAATATGAAAATTAAGGTTGAGTTTATTTGACATCAAACTCGACCGAGAACTAAAAATTAGAAGAACAATAGCGTTTGATTATGTTGAAGCGTTATGGAAATATCCTGTTTACGACGGACGGACAAAACGATCACAACCAGCGGCTCACGCCACTTAATAAAGTACACCAACTAAACACACAGGGACGCGGATAAGAAGCAGTTCACCCGACCTCCTCACCCATGCACCTCCCGCTGGTGAAAGTCATTTGCAAATTCCACTACCCAAATCTGTCTCGTAAAGGGAGACAGACGGTCGAAATAATAAATTCTAAATTGCTCCGACGACAAGATGGAGAAATTCCAGGAATAAAATAACTCTCTTTTTCGATCTGACCAATCCAGCCTGCACCTCAACCCACCCACCCGAAACGGGAGAAAAGTATAAATAAATATGAGGCCCACACACAATACTCATGATTTTCACTACTTGCTTTCTCTCCCCGTATTGCTTTCCACTTGAAGTCAACAAGTGTTAAATATCCTCCACACACTTACGTAAGCCAGCCATGTGCTACTCCCAACCAGGTGAAAATGCTGGAGTGAGCAGTCGCCCATGTAATAATATCTCTCTCTTTCTCTCCCTTTCTTGGTGCCAATGGCAGACTTCCTCCCTCTCTCTTGTGCATACACGGCGTAATTGAGTTGTCTCCACCACCAGCTCCCAGAGTGAAGAGCCAATTTAATTTTATTGTGCACAAATTGTTCTCGAAAAAATCTCGCTGCTTTTTCTTACTTCTTGATTGAGGACGAGTCTGATCAAACAGCGGCGGCGGCGGCCGTGTAGCAGATTCCTCGACATGCTTTCACTCTTACTTTCCCTCCTGCACCCCATGCCGTGTCTCTGATGGCTTTTGTCAGCCGGGAGAAACAGGTGCGCTCGACAGCTGCTGCTGCTTTGCTTCCCTTGTCTCCAGGTCGAGGGGAAATTTACCGGCGCGACGGGACAGAAAATATATAAGGCGTGCGTCGTCTACTCCTCGGCGACAACAATTCCTTGATTAGATGACCCCCCCCGTGAAAGAAAGTCTGTATATTTAGACATGCAGACTTTTTTTAAAAGGGCAAGTCTACCATCCTCCTCCTCCTCCAAAACTAATGATAAGGTCGCCTCATCAGTGTACAGAAGTAAACAAACTTTATCTCCCTTTGTGCAATTCGCGAGGAATGGAGTGGAGGAAACGCTTAAAAGCATATTAGGTTACACAATAATCATAAAATAACAAGCGTTCGTGGAAACGTCGGGGAAAATGAGGACGACGAGAGAGAGCTAAACATAACATAACTTGGCTTTTCTTTGTGTGCCGCATCGGTTTCACGGCTTCTTTCTCCCTTTCACATGACAGGATTTGGTTTCCATCTTCGTCTCACTCACATCATCACACTTTCTCCGACGAAAGCAACCAGCTCAACAAATTCATAACGGGAAAAGAGAGAGAAAAAAACTTTT